AGAAGCCTTTTCAGTCCCCACACTGACAGGCAAGGGTTCCAGTTCCTCCACATCCCAGTCATCATTTGATACTATCTTTGTTTTGATCACAGCCATGTTGTAGGTATGACAGTCACTCATTGTGGTCTTGATTTGTGTTTCCCTGATTACATTCTTAGTGTGACAGTCTAAGGAAAGACTGGAAACAGAGCTAGGAAAATGGCTCTGTAGGAAAAGTGCTTACCACACAAATGTGAAGAGGATTTCAAATCCACAGGACCTAAAAAAGCTGGGCCGATCACCTACCCATAATCCCAGCATTCAGGAGGTAGAGGCAAGTAACCCCTGTGGAGAGACGGTTTTCTACACTGTGGGATTGGCTAGCTATGGTTTAGTGAAAGATAAATAAAGTGGAGAGTAATTAAAAAAGATACCTGATACATCCTTGGGACTCCATACCCAGACACTCTTACATGCATGGACAAGCAGAAGATATTAGTAAGAAATAAGAATGGGCTAGCTGGAGGGGCGGTGGTGGCGCACGCCTTTAATCCCAGCACTCGGGAGGCAGAGGAAGGCAGATCTTTGTGAGTTCGAGGCCAGCCTGGTCTACAAAGCGAGTTCCAGGAAAGGAGCAAAGCTACACAAAGAAACCCTGTCTCAAAAAAAACAAAACAAAAAAAAAAAAAAAAAAAAAAAAGAGTGGGCTAGTTGGATGACTCAGCACATTAACTGACTTGCTCTATAGCTTTATAACCTGAGTTCCATCCCCATCTACCATCCACATGGTAGGAAGAGAAAACTGTCTCCCAAAAGTTGCTTTGACCTACACATACAAAATGAAAAAATAAATGTAAGGAAATTTAAAAAAAGTATTTAAAAAGGAATGAAAAGATAAGAGGAAATATTTATAATCTATCTGGTAAAAATCTTGTATATAAATATATGAAAAAATCATACAACTAAATAATTTTTATAAATAGTAATCCAATTTAAAAAAATCTGAATGGCCACTTCATATCTAAATAGTCATTAAGTCATGAACAGACAGACAATGAACATTATTTCCCAAGGAAATGTAAATGAGAATCACAATGAAATACCATAGCACATCCAAATCAAAATTACTAAAATTCAAAGGGCCCAAAAGAACAAGCATTGGCTTATAATTCTCATTCCTTTCTGGTGAGACAGAAGAATGCTACTTTCACTTGGAATGGCTTTGGCAGCTTCTTACAGCATCCAAGATTCACTTAGCGAAAGCTCCAGCAATTTCATTTCACAGTATTTAGCAAGAAGGATGTTTATGCTCATCAAGGTGCATGGCACCTGCTTATATCCACTTGGGGTGGTAGAGTGTCCAAAAGTTAGAATACATGTAATTCAGAGGCAGTAGAAAAGGCCTAAGATTTGGGTCAGAAGTCAGAGATCAAAAGGATCAAATGGTCAAGAATTTGAAACAAACAAACAAACAAAAATGGGAGATATATATATATATATATATATATATATATATATATATATATATATATATATATATATATCTCCAAAACAGAAACATATGGACATCTATGAGTGGACATATATATCTCCTATTAGAGATGATGGACACTGTTCATATACAAGAGACCCTAGCCAACCAAGAAGACCAAATGGCTTGGACAGCCGTTATCAGTAATCTCACTTAGTAAGGACATGGGCCTCTTCCATCCCGGAACAGCCAGAGGTAAAACTCTCAAAACAGATGCATATTGCAGGTATAATCTTGCCTTTGTTGCTTACAGGATTTCAGCAAGTATCATGATCTGAGAGTAACAGAATTTTTGATCCTCTAGCATAGGGTCCTCCACATGCTTGGGGATCCAGTTCAGAACAAAGAATATGCCAGAATCCTCTGTGGCTCTAGGTTCCACTGTTACCAATCATGTATAACCAGTTCACTTATTGGGAGAATCTGCTTTTATATTATCCAGCTTACTTATGATTACTTGGTTTGTGCCGCTCAGTTGGGCGGATCTACCCATAAATCCCTTCTATCGACTGGTTGTGAGAATCACGACATAGCCACAGTTAAAGTGTTTTCCCAGACAGGGTATCTGCACTTTCTGCTCACATAGTGGGCTTATGCTTTTGGGGTCTGCTTGTGTTTGACCCCAGATGTCTCTCCACCTCTTGAGATGGTTCCTGGCCAGCTTGACCTTATTGCTTTGATGGAGCCCAGATGACAAGGCACGTTTCAAAATGAACAGACATCTGGCCAAACACTTCCCTAATCAGGGCTCATTTGCAGCTGTAGAAAGATGACATTTTAGATCATCTCTGTTTTCCCACAGAGCAGTTTTGCTACACAGTCTCCCATTTCTATACACGAATTCCTGGAACACCATGTACAAAAGTTCAGAAACGGGAAGTGGAGCGAGAGCAGCCTTACGCACGCAGAAGGTGTTGACTTTCAACAACTGAGACAGATTAAGACTCACCTTAATGTTTGAATCATAAGCTTGTGCCCTGTTCTTGGTATTAATTTTGCTCTTGAAACTCAAAACAAAGCTTCAGTTCAAATATGACTCAAGATCTCCGGTGCTTTGGCATGCTCCCTAGTTTTCAGCTTTGCCTTTATTTTATTAAGCATATTAAAGGCCCTATGATTAATATTAGCAGTTTAGTTTTCATTAAAATCTGGGCAGGAATGAAAATAAAAGGAGATAGTAAACGTATTACTTGATTCGACTAATTGTCAAAGATATCAGTGCTGCTGGCACAGAAGTGTCGCCGGCCCCTAAGATCAGCACAGGGAAGTTGAGTATTCATCTATCAACTATGTTCAAAACCCAAATTCAGTCACATAGGGGGGTTTTGGACATTTGAAAGGTTGTCCAAAAGTCAAACACAAAGATCTATTACTGCCTGTATTAAATTTAATTTAAAATTTAAATTGAATTACTGCCTTAATAAAAATGGTATTTGACAAGCTGTGACTTGAAACCCACACATGCTAACCATTCCAGGGGAAAGTGGCTGTAGTTGGACTGAGTGTCCCCCCAAGGCATGTGTGTTTAAGGGCTTGGTCACCAGCCTGGGAGTCTGGGGGTGGGCAGGATAACCTTTAAGAGGTGGGGCCAGGTAAAAGGAAGTAAGGTCAATGAGGGCATATCCTGGAGGGGGATATTGGGATCTTGGCCCCCGCCCCCACCCCTTCCCTGGATGCCATGGGGCAAATAGGCCTTCCCAACACACATTCTTGCCACTCTGTACTGCCGCACCAAAGGCCCAAAGGCAATGGAACCAACAGACCATCAAGCAAAACCTCAGAAATTAGGAAGCAAAGGAAATCTTTCTTCTGTATAAGCTGATTGTCTCAAGCATTTGTTGTCATGATGAAAAGCTCACAAACACAGTGGCTGGTTGATTTTGTGTGGGTAGGTTCCAAGCAGTAAATGCTGTGGCACCCAAGCCAGGTCTCTCTGGCCTAACCGCTTTGAACCCTCTCTGTGAGCTCCAAGAGTTTCAAATGCCTTTGCCTGAGGTGCTGAACATGGGCAGAGAGCGAACAGCCCTCTTCTGCCTCCCTCCCAGCAGCCCTCAGTGACTAAGGGGAGTCTATGTATGAAGACTCCAGCTTCCTTGGGATCACACTGGGAAACAGGCTTTACATCATTTCTCAGGCTCTTCCTCTTGGACTAAACTAGAGCCACTGTCTCTTGACAAGGCCTCTTCTCTGGCCACCTTTCCTATCCTCTCCCCCCTCATCTCCAAGTTCTCCTGTATTTCCTCCATGCGCTGCTTGTGTGCAAATTCTCCTGATGTGCCTCCCATCATTTGACACCCCTACAGCCACAGCTTCTAATTGGAATGGGAGTCAGCTGCCCACCAACCTCTGCAGTTACCTGTCACGAGACCCAGAAGGGCGCCAAATCCTGAAAACTCATGAACTCAGCAGATCCATTCTCGGGGTGTCTACATGTGGAATGCTTGAGGACAGAGATGGTGGTGGCAGCAGAAACTTAGAAACAGCGGTCAGGGGACAGGGAAGGATGGGGACACAAGAGGTGGCACAAAGCACCGGCCACAGTCATGGGGCACAAGCTTTTCTCATGGCTCGAGATTCCTTTTTTGAATGAGTGAACCCATACTTAAACCTCACCTTCCGCCTTTAGGTGCTCCATCTTCTGCTTGAGAGCCCAGCAATGGTTTACATGTTTCAAATGTATTATTTCAAGTGTCATTGTATACCTGAGAAATTTGGTTCTGCACCTAACATTTCAACGGCTCAGTAAAATGCTCTAGATTGTCAGTTGCTCCAAATGGCCCTAAGCTGGAATTCAATATCTCTCAAGGTTTTAAAGAATACAGTTTCTCTTCCTTCTGCAATCTGCTTCCTTCCATAGTTTGGGTCTCAGTTTAAGGAAAAAAGTCCTTGAAAGCAGCAGCAGTTCATTTCTCGTTAAAGGAGATGTGATATGTCTTCCTTTGTCACAGCCCAGACTGCAGCTAAAAACACACTGCTGCACTTTGGGACTGGGAAGAGATTTGGGGGCTTAAAAAAAAGTTTAACAGCTGAGTAAAGCTATTTTAAAGGAAATGCACAGCCCTTTGCAGCTTCTTGGAACCCAGTACAGGATAACACAGTATGTTAGATGTGCTCAGAATATTTTTATGCATTATCTGTGCTCCTGGCTCGGACATCTGTGAGGCAACAAGCAGCACACATATTACCTGAAGGTTGTGAAAATGGAAAGGTGAAGTATTTGGTCAACTAAACAAGGTTTAGATTAATAGCTGGGAAGCCAGGACCTGAGCTCCTGGCTTTTCACAACTAGGATGTTGGGCTGTTTGTAATCTGTGGTGTTATTACTGTGGTCCCTTGAGGGCAGGGGGTCTATATTATGATTGAGAGGCTGGGGAATGCACAAAATAGACATTCAACTTCTAATGTAACCAAGATATGTGAAATAGAGATTTTGAACTGTCACGCCCATGTTGGGCGCCAGATATTGGTGAAATTATTAAGGCCACTCAACGTAGTTAAAAGGGAGGTTTATTTTGTGGGGTAATTTACAAGTGAATGGATAGTTTACAGAGTCTGGGTAAGGCATGGCGCAGTCCGGTGGTGTTCTCTGGAGAACTCTGCTCGGTCTACCTCCAGCGTCCAGGGTCCAGGAACCAAGAGAGCCGGCGCATCCGGATCTCGGGTCTTCAGGGTCCTCTCCTGGCTCTGCCTTGTAGGTGTGACAGTTACCGAAGCCTCAATGGGGACTGGAACTTCCAGATCAAGGCTGGAATGGCTACCCACTACAAATAACCTCTGAGACTCAAATCAATTTTGAAAGAGTGTGGTGTTTAGAGTTTGATCCTTTTTAAAAGTCAGAAATATCCCAGAGGTCTGTCTTCCCCTTTGTGCATTCAATCTAACATTTTCTTTTGAAAAAACAAGAAAGTACATAGTTGTTTATTCTGGGAAGGAAATAAAGATTTTCAAGTGTTCCTAAACTTCATTTCTAGCTAATTCCAGCAACACTGTGTCACTTTTTGTCCCATGATGCTGTCTGGCTATGGATGACCATAATGACTAATAAGTACTATTTTAAAAGTTATATTAGAGAAATAGGCATCACAGTTTATTGTGATTTTACCACTTAGAGACTATATGTTGTTTTTAAAATAAGTTTGAAGTTGTCTTCTTGGTGCTTCAGAATATCTGCATTCCATTTATTTCTATGGATATTGAACAATCCAGAAGAGAAGGAGCGATTGCTCCGAGTTTCCCCTTCTAAGGAATAAGTTGGTGAATTGATGCTAAAGGCTTCACTCCTCTTGATCCCTCATACTTAACTCAGGGCAGAGGCTTCTAGCTGAACTGTTAGTTGACCTTTATTTCTAGCTAACAGAGGCATGGGACTTCAGGAATCTTATAATTAGACCCTGTGGACCAGCTCCACACCCAGCTTCCAAGGAGGCTTTGGAGAGAAGCTTCAGTGACAGCACTTAGCTCCAGGGCAGCAGGAACCAGCCCGCCTCGGACACTAGTGGGATCCTTTCATTACTCAGAGGTCTGTAGGAAGATGCTGCCTCTGCCTTCCAAATTCTCCAAAATGTCTGCAAAGATGCCATGTATGCAAAACACACGAAGATGTATTTCTGAAAACCCAAAGTAGCCACAAGGTAAAAATCCACTGTTCTTTTCTCCTTATATTTCACCTAGATGTCTTCCCAGGCAGTTTCTTTCCTTCCCTCTACCTGGTGAAGATTGCTCCCCTACAAGGTCACCTAGAAAGCCCCTGTGGAAATTTTTGAATGTGTTTTGGGTTTGGGCTGTCAAAGCACATTCTCTGGGTCACAAATCATTCCCTTCTCCCTCTCCTGCAACATACCCAGAGCTCAGAACAAGCTGCATTTTGAGCTGAGAACTCTTGAATTAACATTGATCTTCAGAATGGGTTTAGAATCCTGAGAGCCAGAAACAAATTCATCTGTGAAGGTTATCTATTATCTCTGACAATACCATTTCTTGGAAAAGATACATAATAGCATATTTACATGAATCTGATTCATAATATTTTGAACTCTTTGCTGTGTGTATATATACTTGAAAGGAATATACTGGGTTGACATAGGTGAAATCTAAAAATACATTCGGCATAACTTAGCCAATGACTCTTATTTGATAGCTGATACAGAAAAGGAGAGATCAATAAATGAATGAGCAAATAATTACATAGTTAAGAAGTCATTAACTCTCTAACCTTTTAAGTCTATAATATATTACAATAAGTATTCACTACATAATACGTGCTGAACATTAAGATGTCATTATAGATAGTACATACAGAAGACATTGGTCATTGTGTGTGGGGGTGTGTGGGGATGCATGTGTGTGTACGTCTTTGCCAGAAGACAACCTAAGGTTATGTTCTACAAGCTCTGTATACTTTTTTGAGACAAAATTTCCTCTGGCATGGAACTTATCAAGAAGGTGAGGCAGGCTGACCAGTGAGCTCAGTTTCTTGTATCTATTTCCTCAGTGCTGGGAGAGCAAGTGTAGACCACCAAACCTGACTTTTTAAAAAGTTGTTGTTCATATGAATTCTGCATATTTCAACTCAGGGCCTTGTATTTCAAGGCAAGCACCTTAGCAGCTGAGTTGTCCTGCCAGCACTGGCACGGGTCATTTCTGACTATTTGGGCTCCGTTTCTGCTTTGTATCTGCCACATTGTCTATGAATACTTCTTATTTTAGAAGCCAGATGATCCATAGCCCCTGTGACCACTCCCAATCTCGTCTAAGGAAAGCTCTGAGCCTGGCTCCTCCATGAACTTTGCAGGCTGGGTCAAAAGCAAACTGGTTTGAGAACGGTTCACAGTTCTCACAGCGGCAGAATGTGGGAGCCAGACCTCTCCCGCAGTGTAACCTTGATCTTGGTCTCTGTAGGCAACACCACTGTTCAGCTCCTGTTCAGCCTAAAGCCTTGTACTCAAGTTTTCCATTCATTTTCTGGCCCCTTATATCTGTCTCTGCCAAAACAAACAAACAAACAAAAAAACTAAACCAAAACAAAACAAAACAAAAAAACTAAGGGTTTTTCTGTTGCTTACTTTTTGAAAGGAACACACCCAGAAACAATGCAATGGATCAGTGAAGAGTCACGGAGAAAATAGAATGTCACTTTGAAAAGCCCCCTGAAGAAACAACAGTGTCCCAGTGGTCTGAGCTCTATCAGAAGTGTGATGGTTTCTTGACTGCCAATGTCACTGGATTGGGAGATGCCTAACAGATTAATAAAGTATACTAACTGAGTGTCTGTGACCGCACTGCTATAGACCATGGTAATACTGGACAGTGAACTAAGGGAGAAGATGTACTCTGAGTGTGGCTCACACTGGACCTCATAGCACAAAACAATAAGAAGAAAGCCAGAAAACACAAACATACTCTGTTCTCATTCAGTGGACACGTGTTTTCTGCTGCCATTGCTCTTAGATATCTTTTTCCAGTGTTTGAAGATAGACTCTGACCAGAGAGTCTTCAGAGGGCTTCAGCTCTTCAGTCTCGGACAAGGAATGCATCGGTCCTTTCTTCTGAGGCTTCTAAATTCTTCGACCAAACAGCCACTGGCTTTCCCAGTTCTCTAGCTTACAGAGACAGTCATTGTGGGACCATTCAGCCTCTGATTGTGTGACCAACCAAATAAATTCTCTTTATAATTTTATATGAAGTCTCTTAGTTCTTTTCCTAGAGAGAACCTTCACATGAAACCTGTCAAGATGCGACACAGAGGACATTGCTTGTGGAGGTCAGCCTCCCAGAGCAGGGTGAATTCCAGAAAGGGAAGGAAAGGGGTCTAAGAGAAGGAATTTCAGAGACAGAACAGTCAACACAACAATCCTGGAGACATCTGAACCCTTTAAAATGTTTGCCATCTTCCCAGTAATTAACGATAGACCAACTGTTAACAAGATTCTTATGGTATCACTGAAGATTACAATTTTATTAAACACAAGTCTGCGAAAGTCATTCTGAAAAGAAATTAAAGGCAACATTTATAGGTCTCCACCACTAAACTTTATATTATATGTATTTATATAATTTATATTATAAAATTCAATTTAAAAAGTAACCTCAAATTTCATATTTTCTTTCCCTGCCCTTCATTCTAATTCTCCACTTGCTGCTTCTTGGTTAACCACAGTGTGAGCAGCCACCACCTCACACTCTTGCCACCTCTGACAGGACAGTTCCTGCATGCACAACGCCTTCCCCATCATGTCAAATGGAAACTTGAGAAACCAGGAGCCAAAATATGCCTTCCTTCTCTTAAGTTGTTTTGCTGGGCATTCCGCCACAGTGGTGAGAAATGTGATTAGCACAAAGAAATATTTTGAGATCATATTATATAGGCATATAAATTTTATAACACTGTGAAAATGCAAAGTATTACGTATGTAGTGTAACCTGATGTTAGTGCAAAAAAAGGAAATTTGTCAACATTAACTCATCCCCATTGACTTATAATTAAGCTAATATTCAGTGATACACTCAGATGACAAGTGTCATCTTATATATATGTGAAACTATCAGGAAAAAAATAAAATAAAATAATGAAAGAAAGCAGTGACTACAAGATTAATCAGTCAAATAAAATTTGAGGTAAAACTATATTAAAGGTATTGTCATGTAACAAAAAAGGTCTATTTTATAAAAGTGAGTTGCAAAATCAATGAAGGTACAAAGACATAAAACTGTGTTTCAAATATATAAAGCAGAAAAAACACACAACACAAAACATGAGTGACATAAGTATGTCTCTACTTCTTGACATATTAACCAAAAACTGCAATATTGAAGTAGTGATAACATAGTTTTAAAAAACTGATTTGTGACTAAAAATGGAATTTAGTATTCAGCAAACAGAAAATACTACTTCAACTTTAAAGCTTCGTAAAAATATCATAAAACTGATTATTCATTAAGACTTAGAAAACCTCAATAGAGCCCAACAAAGGAGAAACCAAGCAAAGCAGAGTCTCTGACCACAGGCCATTGCAACTAGAAATTAATTTCAACAGTGTAAACTGAAAAAAAAAACAGATGGTTATGAAGAAGCCATTAACAGATGTCTCTTGGACAAATCTGAAAGCCTGAGTATTTAGAAAAGAACAACAATGGGAACCCGATGTCATTACCAATGGGTCACAGCCAATGCACTTGTCTGAGGCAAATGCAGAACACAAGGAAACAAAATGAACTAAGCATTTCTTTCAAAGAGTCAGGAAAGAGTAACAAAATAAATGCCATGAGGTTATCAGAAGCAATTTTAAAAGAAATTAAAATAAATGACCCAAGAAATATAAAAATGGGAAATAAATAATTTTTTTTTTTTTTTTTGGTTTTTAGAGACAGAGTTTCTCTGTGTAGCTTTGTGCCTTTCCTGGAACTCACTTTGTAGACCAGGCTGGCCTCAAACTCACAGAGATCCACCTGCCTCTGCCTCCCAAGTGCTGCGATTAAAGGCATGCGCCACCACTGCCCAGCAGGAAATAAATACATTTAAGGGCTACATATTAGAAGCATGTGTTAGAATGTTGATTCTAAGAATACATCAAAATGATCATCAACCATAATCAAGTAGGCTTCATCCCAAAGATGCAGGAATAGTTCAATATATGAAAATCAGTAAATGCTATCTACCATCCAAACAAACTGAAAGAAAAAAATGATCATCTCATTAGATACAGAAAAGGCCTTTGACAAAATCCAACACCTCTTCATGATAAAAGTCCTGGAGAAATTAGGGTCACAAGGGACATACCTAGATATAATAAAGGCCATTTACAGAAAGTTTATAGCCAACATCAAATTAAATGGAGAGAAACTCAAAGCAATTCTACTAAAATCAGGAGCAAGAAAAGGCTGTCCATTCATTCCATACTTATTCAATATAGTGTTTGAAGTTTTAACTGGGGTGATAAGACAATTGAAGAAGATCAAGGGCACATAAATGGGAAAGGAAAAAGTCAAAGCATCACTATTTGTAGATGATATGATAGTATACATAAGTGACCCTGAAAGTTCTACCAGGGAACTCCTACAATTGATAAACACTTTCACTGATCATTTAAAAAAAACTGTAGCCTCCTATATACAAATGATCAATGGACTAGAAAGAAACCAGATAAATAACACCCTTCACAATAGCCTCAAATAATATAAAATATCTTGGAGTAACTCTAACAAAGCAAGAGAAAGACTTGTATGATAAAAACTTCAAGTCTTTTAAGAAAGAAATTGAAGAAGATAGCAGAAGATGGAAAGATCTCCCATGCTCATGGATCAGTAGGAATAACATAGTAAAAATGGCCATCTACAGATTCAATGCAATCCCCATCAAAATCCCAACACAATTCTTTACAGGCCTTGAAAGGATAATTCTCAACTTCATAACAAAAAAACCCAGGATAGTAGAATAGTCATGGACAATAAAAGAAATTCCAGGGTTATCACCATCCCTGATTTTAGGCTGTACTACAGAGAAATAGTAATAAAACCCACATGCTATTGGCATAAAAACAGACACATTGATCAGTGGAGTCAAACTGTAGACCCAGACATAAATCCAAACACATTTGGACACCTGAATTGGGTGGGGGTCGGGGAGAGCCATAAATACATACTGGAAAAAAGACAGCATCTTCAACAAATGGTGCTGGTCAAACTGGATGTCTGAATATAGAATGTAAATAGATCCATATTTATCACCTTGCATAAAACTCAAGTCCAAGTGTATCAAAGACCTCAACGTAAAACCAGACACACTGAACGTGTGCCTTAGTTAAGGTTTCTATTGCTGTGAAGACTCACCATGACCATGACAAACTCTTATGAAGGAAAACATTTAATTGGGGCTTACAGTTCAGAGGTTTAGTTCATTATCATCATGGCAGGTGGAAACGGCAACATGCAGGCAGACATTGTGCTGGAGAAGGAGCTGAGAGTTCTATATCTTGATTCACAGGCAGCAGAAGCAACTGTGTCACACTGAGCATAGCTTGAACATAGGAGACCTCAAAGCCCACCCCTATGGTGACACACTTCCTTCAACAAAGCCATAACTACTCCAATCATGCCACACCTCCTAATAGTGTCACTCCCTAAGGAGGGCATTTTCTTTCAAACCACCACAACTTGATGGAAGAGAAAGTAAGGAAAAGCCGTGAATTCATTGTCACAAGAGATGACTTTCTCAACAGAATCGGGGTAGTGCAGGCACTAAAATCAACAATTAATAAATAGGGCCTCATAAAACTGAAAAGCTTCTGTAAGGCAAAGGACACCATCAGTCAAACAAAGTGGCAGTCTACAGAATGGGAAAAGATTTTTTTAACAACTCCAAATCTAGTAGAAGACTAATATCAACAATTTATAAAATACTTAAGAAAATAGACATCAAAAGAAACCAAATAATCTAATTAAAAATGGGGTACAGATCTAAACAGAGAATTCTCAACAGAGGAATCTCAAATGGCTGAAAAACACTCAACATCCTTAGCTATCAGGGAAATGAAAATCAAAACTACTCTGAGATTCCATCTTGTACCTGTCATAATGACTAAGATCAATAACACAAGTGACAGGTGTCGAGAATGTGGAGCAAGAGAAACACTCCTCCATTGCTAGTGGAAGTACAAATTTGTATAGCCACTGTGGAAATCAGTATGATGGTTCCTTTGAAAATTGGGAATCAACCTACCTCAAGACCCAAATATACCACTCCTGGGCACATACCCAAAGCACGCTTTATCCTACCACAGGGACACTTGCTCAACCATGTTCATTGTGGCTTTATTTATAATAGCCAGAAACAGGAAACAGAATAGATGTTCCTCAATCAAAAAATGGATAAAGAAAATGTGGTACATTTACAAAATGGAGTATTACTCAGCTGTTTAAAAAAATGTCATGAAATTTACAGGCAAATGTATGGAACTAGCAAAACTCATCCTAAGTGAAACAACCCAGACTCAGAAAGACAAATATGGTATGCATTTACTTATAAGTAGATATTAGCTGTTAAGGAAATGTTAACCAAACTACAATCCATAGAACCAGAGAGATTAGGTAAAGAGAGGTGGGGAGCAGGGAACACATGGATCTCCCTGGGAAGGGGAAATAGAATAGATTTTAAGGGTAGACTCGGGGCAGGTGGGGTCTGGATTGGGAAGGATCAGGTGAGGGGGTAGGATAGGAGAGAGTTCAGAGAGAGATGACTGGAATTTAGGGGACACTTGGAGAGTGGTGTGGAAACCTAGTGTGGTGGAAGCGTCCTGGAATCTATGAAGGTGATCCTAATGAGGACTCCTAGTAATGCGGGATGTCAAGTCTCAACTGGCTATCTATTGTAGCCAGGCAAGAATTCCAGTGGAAGGACTGGGTTGCATTCAACTGAGTTGTTGGTCAAAGGGTCTCATGGCAATCTCCAAACAACCCAGGCTGATGCTTAAGACAAAGGGTTGCTCTCTGCAAACTGACAGCAAGGCAGGCCCCATTGCCTAGGACAACATCCACACAACTCACTGAACATGGAGAAGTTGAGCCAGTATCTACATGGAGCCTTTACCCCTACATTCTAGTCTTTTTGATGCAGGAAGGTACTCTTCAGTCTACCAAAAGAGAAACATGGACACCAACCCAGACACAAAACCTTTGACCTACAATCTTTCCTGCCTGCAAAATATGGTAAGGCAGGGAGTGTTGGGACAGAACTTCTGGGAGTAGCCAACCAATGTCTGATTTGATTGAAGGCCCACTTCACAAGAAGGAACATATACCTAACACTACTTGAGTAACCAAGAACCAGAGAGAGCTAGATAGCTCAAAGACCTGGAGCAAAACCAAGCACAACTGGTCTAAAAAAATCAATAACATTATTCCTAATGATATTCTCCTATGCTCATAGATTAGTGCCTTGTCCAGTCATCAATGGAGAGGCTTCCTCTGGCAGCAGAGAGCAACAGATACAGAGACCCACAACCAGAAATTATGTGGAAAGAGAATCTAAATGGGGAGGCTCCATCAAACCTCCCTTCAGAGCTCAGAGAATGCTGTGAAAGAAGAGGCAGAAAGATCATAAGATTCAGAGGGGATGGAGAACAAGGCCCTCTGAACCAACTAAGCAGAGTGCATATGAGCTCACAGAGACTGAAGCAGCAAGCATGGGGCCTGCATGGGTCTGTACCAGGTCCTCTGCATGCATATTATAGCTATTTTTTTTTATGAGACTCTTGACTATGAGAATGAGTGGATCTCTGACTCTTTTGCCTGCTCCTGGGACTCTTTCCCCCTGTTGAACTGCCATGTCCAACTTTGAAATTAAAAGTTTTGCTTCGTCTTATTATATTTTATTTGGTCATGTTCAGTTTTTATCTCTTAGAAGCC